TTAGCTTAATGTAGATAATTTTCAAAATATTATATGTTATTAGGTTAAAAAATCTATTTTTTGAAAATTTGTATGGACATACAACATAATGGTTCTTACTGTTTGGACATACAACATGTAACCTAGATTTAAAATAATGAATTTGTTAAAGTTCTCTTTTATTTTATGCTTTATTTGTTAAAAAATAGTAGGTAGAACACAAAAGTAATATATTTTATTCGTAATCATCTTCTTCATCTTCAGGGGTCCGCCAAGGTACAAGATCTTTTGTTTTTTTTGATGTAGGAAGACTTTCCACATACGTTTTATAAACTGCTGGTATAATCTCCTTATTTAGTAAATACAACAAGTCTTTCTTTTTTTGCTCAGATATGAAAAGTCTTTTTTGATATTTGGATTTTAGCTTGACATCTGTCCATGTAACTTGTGTAACTTGTTTAGTATGTCTTTTGTTTTGTATGACATCAAACTCTAAAAAATGTTCATCAGTCAATGAATATTTATATTGAATAACAAATGGCCTTGTTTTTTGAAACCGGAACCACTTAACCTGAAGCCATTTTATTGGATCACCTAACGCATTAGTTTTCCTATTTTGCATTATAAGTGATGCAAGATTCTGCAGGTCATAAAAATCTGAATGGTTGAGTTTATGTACGTCATAGGGTTTTGGTTTGTGTCTTGCCATGCTAATCAAAAGTGCCCATTCTTCGGTGGTGAATATCTTTTTGTGCTTACGAGCATGCTCAATTGTTGCATGAATTGAGTCAGCTTCTAAATAAGAATGGCCAGATTCCATAAACTTAAGGTCGATCGTTTTAAGATTATCAATTTTTGCAACAGCGTATAGCATTGCAGCACAAACAAACTGGTTGCGGTTTTGCCCACCACATGTGTCTGAGAAAGTGGCTACATGTTCAACGGTTTTGGCAAACTATACAGATATTTTAAAAGGCATGTGCCTATCTCTGAGGCACCTTTGGAACCCTCGGTTTCATCCCAGACATAGCAGTGACCACTTTGATCAAATGAATCATAAATGGTAAAATTAAAAACTGAAAGTTTCCGTTTGTAGTAAATCTGAGAATCTGCAGAAAACGGCACTGTCAAAATTGCTTCTAAGTCAAACGTGATCGCTCTATAATTGACTCCTTTTACTTCAATAGCTTTCTGCTTGTCTGCTTTTTTCATTGTCATGGCTTCTTCTTCCCTTTGCTTATGGAGATTCCAATTATTTTCCAAAGAAGATTTGTCTGAGGCATTATAATAAACGTTGCAAGTAGAACATTGATCTTTTTTGGGAATATGAAACGATAGCTGAGGATCATACTTCTTAAAAATGGATCTATGAACGTTTATGGAAACGGGTATAATTTTTTCCTTAGAGCAATATTCATCTTTGTACAATCTGTACATAATAGAAAGGTTTAAGTCAGAAGATAAATAAAGTTTCTTTGTATCGCGACGACTATAATGCGATTCCATTTTAGGAAAACTGTCTATATGAATTGTCACGTGATTTTTAGCTGCGTCGGGTGTAATGTTAGCTGGAACTTTCCCTTTTCGCCCATCGCAACCTACGTAAGCCCCTCCTGGACCACGTTTTTTTAATGCCAAATCAACTACCTGAAAGCTAATACTAAACGTTGCACAAAAAATTTGAGACACACTCTCTGTGTTTCCCCACTGGTGTCACATAATGTGTAAACACGCGATGTTGATTTTGAAATATTGCTTTCAGGGTTACGTTTCCTGTGTCTAGCTACATTTCTCTCTGTAACTAAAGAACACAAGTGCCCCTTTTGTCGATCAGAATCAGCCAGTGCCCAATATTCTTGATGCAAAATACTCTGACGTTCAGGAGGAATTTTTGTTGAGCATTTAAATCTACATCTTGAGCAGTCAATAATATGTTGAATACGCTTTTCAGGAATAATTTCTTTTTTGCTATTTGTATAACTTTTACCACACATTCTTTTTTGTTTACGAATATTCCTTTCCCATGTTTCAGGTTGTGCATGACGTTTGCGGCTTTTTTTTGTTTTTGTCTCTATATTCATTAAAGTAGAATTTGTTTCTGAAGGCAATGGAGAAGCATTCGCTTGGTTATCGAAGTCATTGTCAGTTGAAACGTCTAAGTCTGCTGGGATAAAATCAGGGTCTGATAAATATTCAGTGGCTTTCACTTCATTTTGAGGAATACTATGGTCTTCATTGTTTTCTTGTAAAGCAGTATTTGTAATAACAGAAATATCTTCATTTGATTGAAGATATGGAACAGATTGGACTTGTTGCAAATGTAACCAAGAAGTTTCCTGTGCAGAAACAGCTAGTGAGTTTTCAGGTAGACTAAACTTTCCTAAAAAATAGTACATATCAAAATAAAGCATATATTTTTTAAACTGACAAAAGTTACCATCAGCATCTTCTCCGTATGAATTATATTCTATGGGTTTGGATAACTGGACAACATTTTGAATCTGTGCAATTGTATTCATACAGTTTTCTTCCACCGAAAAAATGTTATCAATGAGACAATTAGTTGTTGAATGATAAATGGAATTATCTTCATTTCGTTCAAGTTCCTCTAAACAGAAAAAGAAATACTAATATTATTTAACTAATATAAACACCCAACACAGGTCTTACCAAAGGGAATAATCATGATGTCATCACAGACTTGGAAACAACTTTCCTCATTTTCTTTGCAGCTTTCCATTGCCGGATTATCTCTAGTGTCACACGTTACCTCTAACAAAATATAAAATTAACGTAATTACGGGATACCGCGAAAACTAAATTTATTTTGTTATACAAATTATTGATCTAACAAGATGTTTAGCTAATAGTATAAAAATATTTATCAAAGAAGTAAGGTTAAACCGGTAAAATAATTATTTATGTCTTTAGTATACTTCTAGTACATTCTTCCTAAATAATTTCTAAAATAAATCACGTAGCATTGTAGTCGTTATTAGGTAAGTACGGCCCATTTTCTTAAAAATACAGTACCTATGTATACAAAGAAGCAATCAATAGATACCTGATGTTCTTGTTGTTTCGCATCCTTTTTTTGCTAATTCCACTAAAAGTTTAGCACGTTTAGACATTTTGATAAAATCACTACTTATTTTAAGTTCACTAATCACACAAAACAGTATTACCTTATTATTCGAACGTAAAAACAGAACTGCTATTAGATTACCGAAAGTCGTTATAACTGATTAAGAGACAGACATACGAAAACTATTTGCAAACTATGCACAAACATGATATATTTATGTTACAACGTTATCAGCTTGATTTCAAATCATAAAGAGCACAAATATTGCATGTCCGGACAAACAATATTTACAGCCATAATAAGTTTGATCATATGAGCACTAATATTGTATGTCCAAAACATACTATGTTTGTGCACTTCCAACGGACATAATATGTCTGTGAAGTCGATTTTTAGTACAAATGGGAAATACTATATTTAGGCAAGGCGGTTTAAGGTATTTACAATCATTTTTGACTTACAATAATTGTGCAGAACATTCATATGACCCTACTGAATATGTCTATGGTGATATCTTAAAATCAGCAAAAAGTGGACATACTATGTTTGTGCTTTAAACCATCGATATGTAAGAGAGGTTATGGTACTTGGAACGTGTTAAGGTATAAAATAAACATGAGATTTTTTGGCACTTACCACATTATTTATTTCATGTATTCATATTTGTAACATTTATTTTTATTTCAAATTACAAACAATTAAGTTTTTTATATTGTGACATTGACATTTACATAGAAGTATTAAATAGTTTCAAGACAAGATTCCGTTTTAAATTGGACAGTTACCAACAGTTAGTGAATTATTTAAAGGATATAACAGTGTAACAGGGATACTTTTTTTTGTTTGTTAATTTTTTCTGAATGTCTAGAAATTTGAAAACCGTTCCATGTAATCAATGTAATGATAATAATCAATATGGCCAGGGTAAATTCTCATATTTTACTCATTATCATTTTTTCATGGCCTTATTCAGAAAAGTCCGGAATGTTTTAGGTAAGATAATTACCTAAAATATATGACAGGATTGTTAATACTCTAAAGAATCGTGGAAAGTTTGACGATTGTTCTGAACATTTTAAATGCCGATTTAAAACTTTAAGAAAATGTAAAATATTCTAAGAATTTAAGAATATTCCAGATTCCTCGAAAGCACTTCAAGAAAATCGAACTACACTTTTGTGTATCTTTTAAGCACTACATGAAATTCATTTTGGACGACTTTAGGTGTTTAGAAGTTGATAAAGGCCTAAATGATTTCAAAACTACCTGAGATTACCTTGTACTTTTAAGGAATGGTATGTATTTCTTTGTGGAGTTTCAGAGTAGCAAAATTGCTCCGTGTCACTACTATAGAAGAAATCTCTATTTTTCCCTATTCTGATTGTTTTGGCTCTTTTAAAACTAGTAGTTGTTTGACATATATGCAAAAAAATGCACAGTGGCTGTAAGGTTCGAGATTGTGACCAACAAACTGCGAAGGAACCGAATGTTATACAAAACGAAAGAAGAACCAGGTTTTAAGTCTTTAAAATTCAAGAATGACAACAGAAAACAAAATCTATAAGTAGAATAAAGTCTTTATTAGCAAAATCACAAACATTTGATTGCAGTTTATTGTATTATCCACAAATAAAACTTTCCAAATTCTGTATGACACATTCTTCATATTTTTGAGTTTCTGATTCTTTCATCGGCGATTTACTTCTGTCATTAGTAGTGTGTTTATCAGTATTTTTGTTTACCATTTCCCGTATAGCTTTCATGTCTTCTTCTAACTTATTCAATCTAGTAACGATGGATTTCAAATCATTAGTTTCAGGCACTTCTTTTATTTTAGTTTCATCCTTCTTACTTTCCTTTGGTGTTTCACTTTTCTCTAAAGAATTCATAATTTACTCATGTAAATTTGTGAATTTTGACATTGAAAATAAATGGCAGATTCGAATAATTTGTTACTACTGTCATATTAAATTTAAATTCAGCATCGTCGTCATCTTTTCCGCCTAAATTCACGTTTCATTAGCATGACCTGCCAGTCGTACCCACCACCAACAAGAAAATGTATGAAACTCATCTATGCTAGACAAATTTTTGATTCCAAAGGTGTTCCAACGGTTGAAGTAGACCTTATTACTGATTTGGGTTTATTCAGAGCTTCAATTCCTTCTGCAAATAGTCAAGGTTGGTAAAAGTAAGAGAGTTATTTTGATCTTTTGTTATAATAGTTTACAACGTTCAAGTTGGTTTAATACTGTTAAAATTAAATTATAAGCAGAAAAAATAAGTAATAGATCTTTCAATAAATTTTCTATTTGAATTGTATTACTTTACTAGCACTGGGAACCATCCTAGGATTAGTAGGTAAAATTAAGCATTAAAAAATGAATTCATAAAATCTAACGACAAAATTTCATCATCACTGGTTCGACAACCCATTTTGGGTCTTGGCTTGATTTAAAATTCGTCTCCATTATGATCTGTTTCATGCTTTTTTGTGTGTTAAGTTTTTATTTTTTAGGTTGTATTATTATCTATTTGTTCTATATTTCTCAGCTTCTTGAATTGCAGTTATGTCTATTTTGTATATATCCAGTTCGTTTAGGAGATTTTTTCATTTCTCACTCTTTCTTTAGCTCTGACCTTTTCCCCACTAGTGTGAGCTACCACAATCTTCCACGGAGTTTATGGGGTTACGTGACGTGGAGGTGAGAGTCAGGATTGGGTAGGAGAGCCTAGTGACGCTAACTGGATACAGAGTAATAGTTTGCGCATCTCTACCCCATTTGAACCCCAACTATAAGCATTTACTTAAGAATAAAAGAAATTTGCTTAAAAATCTTAACCGATTTTTAAGCAAATTTATAACTTCTGTGTATTCTATTGTATTTTACTTCAATATTTTGTCAGTTTACTTTTATTGTATTTTATATCAATATCATTGTCAGCAGATAGACGTTTGAGATTTAATTTCTTAATTTTAATGCAGGGTTGCTGCCATCCGCTTATACGTATTTTGACCTTATTTGGTTTCCCCAGGCCCCAGGGCGACTTATGCAGAAGCTCTGGATCGCTAAATCTCTTCCGTTATAAAAGAATAATTATAAAAAATAATTGTATATAGGACGTTACAACGCCATCTAATAACCATCATAGAATTAATCCGAAGATTTCTTATTTGACGAAACTAAAATTGAGATATGTGTTGGTTGCTCTTTCTACAATATACAGAGCAGACATACTGACGTATTAACAGACAAGGTGAATCTAGAAATTGCATTCCACATGTTGTCGATCCACCACGGTGAATATCCTTCGCGAACTAGTTTTTAGTACCTTCGAAAATAAATAAATTAATAAATCAGATGTCACTGTACTCAATAAACTATCAGTAGGAAGCGACCACAGACCAGTAAGAGCTAGGGTAACGATAAATCTACAAAAAAAAAGAGCAAAGATGATAAACAATTGCAAACGCATTCGTGGAATTCACCAAATCATCCAGAAGCATAAAAAATATAGCCGAAACTTTACAGAGTAATAATCCCAAACCTCTAAGTATCGACGATCACAATAAATTAATAACAGACTCGGTTAAAAACGCACAACTCAAATTTTGCAAGAAAAATGACACCAAAAGTGAAAAGATTAGCAAAGATACAAAAGCTCTCATGGAAATACGACGAAACCTAAGCTAGAACAAAAAGGGAAACAAAGAAGAATATAAAAAACTAAATAAAAGAATTTCAGAAGATATAATACTAATGTAATTACTTAAACAGTAGAAGAGAACAAAGGTTTAAAGATAATGAAAAGAAAACTCACACAAAGTAAAAAAGAAATATACAAGCTAAGAGATAAAGACGGAAAGGCAACAACAGATAAACAAAACATTCTGAAAATAACCAGAGAGTTTTATAAAGACCTCTATACCAGCCAAAGACACCAAGACAATTTCCCGACACGAGTAAAGACTCTTATAAATCAGGGACCGGAAATACTTTTACCCATTACTGTGTCAGAAGTAAGAGCAGCTCTAAAGGAAATAAAGAACCATCGATCGCCTGGTGATGATGGACTCATTATCGTGGCAATAAAAGCAGGTGGAGAAATTTATTAAAATCAGTAAGCGAACTGTTTAATAAATTGAAATGAGGTTGAATGCTCGAATAAATGAACTTTGAAAATAAGGCTATTATCGAGCACAAGTTAATTAAATCTAGCCCAAGTTTATTATTAAATCTAGCTTAAACTATTTTAAGCGAAAGTACTTGGGCTAGATTTAATTAACTTGTGCTCGATAATAGCCTTATTTTCAAAGTTTGTTTAATAAATGCTTACATGCGAGTACGATTCCAAAAGACTGGAACAATGCAGTAATAGTCTTTTTACACAAAAAAGGCGATACATATGTACAAATTCTTTATGAAAATCTTAACAAAGAGGCTAACACCTAAAGTTGATTTCTATCAGCCCAAAGAACAGGCAGGCTTCAGGGCAGGATATGGCACAAATGACCATTTGCATACCATTAAGATCTTAATAGAAAAGTGCATCGAGTACAACATACCACTGGTTCTTGCATTTTTACGAAATCGATCAAATCAAAGCCGAATAGATTACAGGTGCACGACACTAATCAAAAACATCTACGAGAACGCTACATCAAGTATAGGACTACACGAAGACACAGAAAAATTCAGCTTAGGTCGAGGAGTTAGACAAAGAGACAATATTTCACCAAAATTGTTCACGGCAGCTCTAGAGTCAATATTTAATAGTACTTATGGCAAGATATATTCATCAATATAGATGAAGAAAGATTAAATTACCTAAGGTTTGCAGATGATGTTGTATTAATCGCAGATAACTTACATGATACAGTTTCTATGATGCATTCGCTTAAAAGTCTGTCTGAAAGAGCAGGATTAAAGATAAGCTTTGAGAAAACTAAACTTATAACAAATCTCGTAATGAGTGGAAATATAACTATTGACAATAATACCATACAATAAACAGACACTTACAAATATCTGGGACACCAAATCAAAATAAGCAGAGACAATCAAACACATGAAATACAGAGGCGAATAGGCGTAACATAGGCAGCATTTGGCAAATTAAGTCATATTCTAAAAAATTCAATTCCCATGTGTCTCAAGCGAAAGGTTTATAACCAATGTGTTCTGCCTGTACAAACTTATGAAGCAGAGACTTTAACACTCACGCAAAAATCTGCGAATAAACTCAGAGTTACACAACGAGCCATGGAACGTGCAATGCTGAACGTAAGCCTTCGAGACCACATAACAAACCAACAAATCAGGCAAAGATCAGGAGTTCAAGGCGTCATCGAAAGAATACGACGCTTAAGTGGAACTGGGCAGGGCACTTAGCCAGAACACAAGATGGACGGTGGACAAGACGTATTATGGAATGGAGGCCCAGAAATTATAAAAGAAGCCGAGGACGACCACCGACTAGATGTACCGATGACATAAAACGTGTAGCGGGAAACTGGCTACAAGCGGCCCACTGTAGAAAACACTGGAAAAACCTGAGGGAGGTCTATGTCCAGCACTGGACACGATTGGCTGATTGATGATGAATAAATCAGATAGAAGTTTGAGATTTAATGGTAATTAGATATTTTGTTTCGCCAAGATTCATATTTCTACTATATTGTTATTAGATGGCGTTGTAACGTCCTATATATAACTATTTTTATAATTGTTCTTTTTTGACGGGAGACATTTATTTTCAGTCCAGAGCTTCTGCATAAATCGCTATGAGGAGACCTAATAAGGTCACAATATGTATAAGCGGATGACAGGTGCCCTGAATTCAAATTAAATCGCAAACATCTATCTTGTTTATTTATTTACTCATTTTCATGATTGTCAATATATTTGTGTATATTTGTGACGTAATATAAAAAATATCGACGACATTAATTAAAAAAGATGTGGCTTATAAATTAGACTGAATTGAATCGACGACATGCGTTATATTTGCTTTTTAAGGTCACTATAGTTTGTGGATTCTTTGTATAGATCTACGACTTAATAAAACCCCACAACAAAACGTCTAACTGGGTCAAATCACACGATGGTCAAATCTCTTGGTGGTCAATTCATATTACTTTCACGTTCTTCTTCTTAGAGTGCCGACTCTTTATGAAGGTTAGCAATTATAATGGATATTTTTTTCAACTTACTGCTCTAAACAAATCAAGCGATCTGCATTGATCGCCCGGATTCTTCATCGAAGAATTCTGCCTTCGGCCATCAGATCTTCTTCCTTGAATCTTTTCCTGTATTATGAATCTAAAAATTTCATGTTTTCATTATTTTCCACTTTCACGTCCATATCATACCATTCAGGCTAAAAGAAGTTTATAATCCAACATCCAGCCAACATCGTTTTCAAAGTAAATTTATTTTATAGGTCCTTACGATTGTGTTGAAATCCGAGATGAAAACGACAAAGACTTTCATGGAAAAGGTGTCTGCAAGGTGGTTCATAATATCAACTCAATAATTGGTCCTGAGCTTCTAAAGCAAGAGTTTGACGTCACGGAACAAGAGAAAGTTGACCAGTTCTTAAAAGACCTCGATGGCACAGAGAATAAATCAAAATTTGGAGCAAATTCCTTATTAGGAGTTTCGCTAGCTGTTTGTAAGGCAGGAGCTGCCAAAAGAGGTCTACCGTTGTATAGACACATAGCAGATTTGGCGGGTATAAAGACCGTTGTGCTTCCGGTTCCCGTTTTTAGTGTTATGATGGGCGGGCAACTAGCGAGCAATAAATTGCCATATAAGGTTCGTATAGTATTCGTAAACTTTATTTTATTTAGAATTTATAATACATAGTTAACAAAAACTGTTTATTTAAGGTATCATATTCTTGTCATTTTTTATCAACATTTCCACGATTTAAATTTCGCAATCGGAGTGTCGATTGAAATAGAACGCTTTTAAATATATGTTTTCCAAGGCCTGCTTACAACACCAATAACATGAAATAATTATATCATAGTTTAATAATTATAATTATAATAAACTGGCATCATGTTTTCGGAATTGAAATCATTTCAATGCGAAAGGCAAGTAAATAATTAAATTTTATAAACTCTATTACGAATTATTAAAATATCTTGGGGGTTTTTTCCTTTATCTTACAAAAGTAAATATTTATTTGCATCGTATATGTACCATCGCATAATCATATTGTAACATCATAATGGATCTGTTTCATTTATTAAAGTAAAGGCTTTGGGCTAGTAACTTAAAAGCAATTGTACACGATTTAGAATATATTAAAAAATAAAATATCTTCTATAACTTATTTCTCCAATTACGTATATTCATTTTACAGAAATTTTCAAAAATAACCACTTTTTTGTTACCATTATTGCAGGAGTTCATGATACTTCCCACAGGAGCTACATCGTTCGCAGAAGCCATGAAGATGGGGACCGAAACCTACCATTGCCTAGCCAAAATTCTCCGGGATAGATATGGGGTAGCAGCAGTAACAGTAGGTGACGCGGGAGGCTTTGTTCCAGCAAATATTAAAACCACGAAAGAAGCACTTCAGTTCATAGTTAGAGCTATCCAAGCTGCAGGGTACACTGGTAGGGTTCAAATTGGTATGGATGCAGCTGCTTCCAAATTTCTTGTTAGAGGTAAGCTCGAATTATTATTAATATTATTATACAATGATATCGAGCCAAAGCAGATTTTATGTGGCCTAAAGCACAAAATATTTGTAGGTACTACAAATATTTTGTGCTACTACTTTGTAGGAAGATTAATATAGACAAATCGAAGGTAATGGTGATTAGTAGAATACGAAATATGCAACTAAATATAAGAGTAAACAGTAAGAACATCCAAAAGGTCGCCAAGTTCAGATATCTCGGTAGTTGAATAACTGATGATCTAGATCCAGACCTGGAGATACGTAGCACAATTGAGCAAGCCATAACACCATTTACTAATATGAGAACCTTGCTAAGCAACAGCAACCTTAACTTAACGCTTCGATATCGCTTTGTAAAATGTTACATTTACTCCATACTGCTATATGGTGTAAAAACCTGGATCATAAAGGCCAATGTGATGAACCGATTGGAGGCCTTTAAAATGTGGATATTTAGAAGACTACTTAAAATTCCCTGGAAAATCACACAACAAATGTAGAGCTATTAAATCGAATGAGCAGAAAACGAGAATTTCTGCCAATAATAAAAAGAAGAAAAACTGCTTATCTGGGTCATAAGTTTCGAAATTCCAAGAACCAGATCTTAAAGCCTATCACGAAAGGGATAGAAGGAAAATGGGACATCGGAAGAAAGAAATACTTAAGAAGAACTAAATAATATAATACAAAACAAAGTTTCTAACAAAGTCAAAATAAAAATTAAAAATAGTAACCAAAACAAAATTGGTTTTTAGAAAAAGTTCTAACAATAATAGCAAACCACAAAAAAATACAAAGATTAAAAAGTATACATAAGATTACAGCATTTATTACAGCATAAGAGAAATCATATAAAATATATCCTTACATTACTTATTTATTTAAACCAGTAGCTTCTACTATGTCATCACTTAAACTGTTCTATTTGTCAAAAACTCGATTAACCAAAAAGTTTTGCCTTACTGTAGTTTTAAAAGACTCATTTTTCATATTATAGTTATTATCTCTTATCTAACATTTTTATTAATATTGTTCTGAAGCTATTTTCTTGTGACATCTTAAAGTAATTACTATTTTAATGAAAATAAGCCACAAGTTTAAAAGTTTATTAACGTTTCAATTTCTACTTCGGAAATCGTTACAATATACAAAATACAAAAAAATTAATAAATTAAACAAATGTTTTTTGTTACTTGATACAAAATTCTTGTGAGAATTAAAGTAGACGACTTTAAAATTATATTGCCAATGTGGCTGAGTTGCGTTCCTGGGACGACTTTATTGTGAGATAGTTCAGTCGATTACATGAAATCAACGTGTGATTCGTCTTTAAAAAGACAATCACATGCCATAATCAGAGTAAAATTCTCCTGTTATTAAATCCATTAGAAAAAAAGTCATAAAATCGTAATGATACATTGGCCTATATATATATATATATATATATATATATATATATATATATATATATATATATATATATATATATATATATATATATATATATATAATAGTGATAAAATAAGTATTAACGATATCTGGACAGTACTATAACTTTAAATTGTCGGCATATGAAACAAATTTTGACTGTAATCCACAAGTTAAATCAGAAACGTACAGCAAAAACATAATAGGCCATAGTATTAATCCCTGAGGGATATCACTGGCTACTGCACGTGAAACACTGCATTCATTTTCTACTTTGAGCGAAAAAGTTTATTGACCTTTAAATTATTTACTGTTATATAACAAATTCACAAGTTTTCTGAATTCTTAATATACAACAGTTACGAAATTTCAGGTCTTTACGATCTAGACTTTAAGAATAGAAAATCTGATCCAAAGAAGAGAAAGAAACCTAACGACATGCTTAAAATCTACACAGACATGGTAAATACTTATCACATTGTATCAATACAAGATCCATTTGACAAAGAAGATTTTCACGCTTGGGCAAACATTAACTCCAGGCTGCATATCCAGATCGTCGGAAATGAACTTACTGCAGCAAACCCACAAAGAATAATGACAGCCGTAAATGAAAAAGCTTGTAATGCGTGCGTCTTAAACTTGATTCAGATTGGTAAGTATACTACAATTTTTGGTATTTTTATTTTATGCAACGCTTGATGATACCATTCGTAATCTCTGCGATACTACAGCTTTTTTTTCTTTTTAATCCATCTCTTATACGTCGGTCTGATAGATCTAAAGCTCTTTAATCAAGGCAAGAAAGTTCTGCGAAAGCTATCTTATTTTGCTGAAAATTCGCCAGTAGTGCCCTAATTTGTATTATTGTGAACTGTTTGGAACATAAACAGACACTGCGCATAAAATACTTTCTCTATTCGATCTCTCTACACTTGTATTTATGGAGTCATAAGATTCACTAATTTCTGGGTCCACTTCTTGGTTAGCTCTTTTTGTATCGTGTTTATTTTATATCCTCGAGTCTGGACAAAAAATGCTGTAAGTCATATATGGCAGGATTTAATAAAGCTCAGGCTATAATACACTTGAGTCCTATCTGGGAGTCTCTTTAACACGTACTGTCACCTGAGATACTGAGATTACGAATACCGTCGACAGCGTAAAAAAATGATCCAATCTACTGGGAGCAATTATACAGCAAATTTGAAGCGACAAACAATAAAACTATTTTACAAACCTATAAAACTTTCGTAATTCCTATTATTAGATACTGTGGTTCCCTGTATACGCTACGAGGAATAGAATCCTGGCTACGAAGAGACATTTCTTTCTATCCAGCGAAAACCAATCCAAATTAATAAACAACCTCGCTGGCGTGCAATTCATAAAATCCCATATCTAATCGTTAGACAAGAGTTATGGGTTGAGATCGATTCATTGCTCTAACACTAGGACTCACAATGTCACCAAAACCTACCCTCGTTATTGCTGACATCTGTCGGTCCGGACAATTTGGATTTTCAAAATTATTGTACAATGCTACCTGTCCTAAACGAGGCAATACAGCTATCCTTCGCGTGTTGAAAAATATGCAAAAAAATCTGAAAATATACATTTTTTTTATTATATTAATCGAATTTTATTTAATAATCAAATTAACTGTTAGACCATTATATCGCATTATATCGCTTACAACGAAAATCGCAAAAAGTGGCAACAAATTGCCAAAGCCCAAAATTTACACACACACTGTCCAAAAAACCAGGAACAACAACAAGAATAACAAATTAAAGATTGATGAGGCTTTTAAATAGCCCAAAACAAGGGCATTATAAAACTATGCCTTGCTACGCCCATGAACAAATACACTAGGCGATGCTCAGAAGGTTTACGACTGTTTCGATGTCACGAAAATTTCACTCAATTATAGAAATATTGCGAAGAATGTTGCGGACTTTATACAAGGGCAATTGGAATTTAAGACTTAAGTCTGATTAAGGTGTAAAGAAAACCCCGTCAGAGGAAGAGGGAACGGTTTTATTGGATGAATAGTTCGGACAATGTGAAGGACTGGTATAAAAAATGTACTACCTGTACTAAGAGTAGCAGAATGAAAGCTCCTTAAAAACAATATAATGTTAGTAGTTCGTTTAAAAAAATAGCTTTGGGCATTATCGGGCAAATTCCAGAAAGTAAAAATGGTTGCAAGTACATGTTGGTCAGTAGGAATTAATTCGCAGTAGAAAGCCACCACTTTTGCAGATATGTTGATCAAAGAATAAATCAGCGATTTGGGGTATCTTAAGATCCATAGTAACTAACAAAGGAACTTGTAGAGTGAATAAATAAGTCGTCTTCTTCTTGTGGTGCCTATCCGTTACGGATTTTGGCTACTAGCATGGAAATTCTAATTTTATTGACCGCAACTAGAAATAGTCCTGAAGTGGTCAAGGAAAACCATTTTCATAAGTTCTGGAGCCAAGATATTCTTCTTCTTCCTGGTCCCCTCTTTCCGTAGATCTATCCCTGTAATATAAGTTGGCTATTATTTGGCAGAAATTGTGTTCAATCACCAGCGAGACTGGGACCAGTACCTTCCGTTCTTCGCAATGGCGCATAGATCAGATATTGATGATTGAACAGGCCAAATACCTACAAACGTCCTATTTGTACGGAAGATGCGACTATTTTGTGATCTAGAGCTTGAATATCGACATCAACAAGATGTAGCGGGTGAAGATTATGTGAACGAAGTACGAAGCAGAACGAATAATACGCACGAGTTAGTCTGTTCCCATCTTCAGATCGCTAGCGATAGGAAGAAGAAACAGTACTACACCCAAGCTAAAAAGGGATGTTTTAAGAAGAATGCCAAAGTGTGGCTCTATAATCCAAAGAAGCAAATGGGTTATTTTTCCAAGTTGCAGCAGTTCTGGAAAGATCTGTACCTTATTAGGGAGAACAACGATGTCATCTATCGAATAAATAAGATTCCGGGAGATTCCGAGGGTAAACCCGATAATAGTACACTATAATCGGCTGCCGCTATTCAAAAGATACCACGACGTAGATGAAGAAGTGAAAGTAAAACAAGTCCAAAAACTCTAATGAGGAATTCGTGGGGCATACGAAGGTACCAATAAACCAAGACATGGTGCTACCAACTGAAGTTTTGCTTGCACTTCCAGATTACTACTTACTGACCCTTACCATTCCGGCCAGAATTACAGACGCACAAAGGTATTTATCTTTGGATGGAAATTTGGTCGAGTTGCACAACTTCAATGCCAACTACCTGCTCTTAGAAAAGCTTTGAAACTGTAAGATACATCACGTTACCTTTTCTATATAGTAATAAAAAAAACTGGCCATGACCAAGTCACCTACCAAAATGTATAGGAAATATTATTTTAATTGAGGGAGCACGTACTGGAGTCCAACGTGCAAAAATTAGCCATGCCAAAGCTATAATGGCGCCAATTGAATTGGAGGGTTATCCGAAATCATCATTATCATCAATTAGTCTATATAATTCTATAATTCTGTAATTCTACTCAGTACTCTCATCTCTGTCGTTTTCAGTGGCCTTTGCGTTATGTCTGTCTCGCGTCTTGTTTCTGGGGCATATGTCATTATTGGTCGTACACTGGCTTTATAAATTTTAGTAGTAGTTTAGTGGTGATGTTAAAAGACCAGATATAAATTAAAATAAACATTCCAATATATCTAGGTTGTTTTTTAGCTTTGCTTGGTAAATAACAGCATTTTTAGTCATCATTTGCTATTCTTCATCTTTTAGGCACCGTAAGTGAAGCAATTAGAATACACTTATTGGCTAAAGAAAATGACTTAGGAACCGTGATCTGCCACAGCGATGGAGAAACAGAAGACACGTTTGAAGCAGACTTTGCCGTGGGGCTGTCGAATGGGCAAGTTATTTTTGGAGCACCTTGTCGAGCTGAACATCTAAGCAGATACAATCAAATTCTCCGCATTGAAGAAGAACTGGGAAAAGAAGTTCGCTACGCTGGCCAAGCTTTTAGGAGACCATTATAAAGCTTAGATACAATAAACATTAAAAAACTATTTTTCTTTCTGTTTTGAACAACTTTATTTTAAAATCGTCAATAGATATTTAAAGTTACTATATTTAGACGACTGTATTAAGGCACAGTAGTCGATTTTGGATTACCTTTACAAATCTATACTGTATTAGGTCAATACTGTCGATTTTTGATTACCTTCACAAACCTATAAGCTTGACGGTGTGAGCGACGGGATACGAATTCTTAACTTCAAAAGATCTGAAGATGTAGAAATGTTTTTACACAAAATAAATACCTTGTTTGTCATTTATTATATTAAAATACTTATAAAAATGATTTTCAATCGCTTGAGACAATCCAAAACCTAAGTTACACAAATTAGTCACAAAATTCACAGTCAATATACATATTATATAATACAAATAAAAAATCCTTAAAAATTTGTCATAAATACTTATAAAATAAAAGGTTTTGTTCTGAGTTATTCGTTCTCTATGCATCCTAAAAATCCACCCAAAGAATACATTGTGGAAAAAATATCAGGATCTGTCATTAAGTCTCGTGTATCGGGCCTGTTATTGGGATCGGTTTGTAGCATCATATCGATGATTTCTTGCATTTGTTTACCATAAACTTTTGTGTTTACACGTTTTTTGCGACCACTGGCTATGGACAGAACTACGTTTGACACCTAGAAATACATTTGTCATTAAACTTATACATGGAAAATACATGGAAAATAAACATCCAAATATAATAAAAAACGTTGTTTATTATTAGTCCAGAGAAGTAGGATATTTCTCTTAACAACACATACAATCAGAACACAACAAATATAGAAGTATTAAATCGAATGACCAGAGAACGAGAATTGCTGCCAATAATAAAAAAAAAAGAAAAACTACTTATCTGGGTCATATATTTCCAAATTCCAAGTACCAGTTCTTAAAGCTTATTATGAAAGGGAAGATAGAAGAAAAACGGAGCATCGGAAGAAAGAAATACTCATGGCTTAAAAACATAAGGGATTGAACAAATCTCGATGTCCATGCTCTTTTTAGAGCCACACAAGATCGGGAGGAGTATGCCAGAATTGTCGCCAACATCCACTAATTGGATAAGGCACCAAGAAGCCTAGGTGCCTTATCCAATTAGCACCAAAAAGCCTATAGAATAAGCAAAAGAAAGTTTTATTATATCAAAAGCATTGGCATTTATTAGACATTCACCTCTAAATCATTGTTTCTTTTTTGTGGATAATGAAATATCTGTTTTATTATTATATTTACAGTACATGCTCTTAACAATAAATTTAATAATTTATCTAAATCGTTACACATTGGCTAAATTCTGAAAATCTTGTATAGTTTTTTACTATCCAGTAGTTCATCAATTACCGTATTAGCACAGTGATTGTCGATATTTCCGGTATCTGCGGATCATTATTATCTGGTTTGGTTTCAAAGAGCAAAGTATAGAAAGATAAGTATCATTAATGTACACGCGTCCACTGAAGATATAGATTTAGAAACCAAAACAGAGTTATACGAAAAGCTAAGCACCTTAATGGAGAATATACAGAAATATGACAAACAAATAATCATTCAAGACATGAATGCGAAAGTCGGAAAAGAGGAAATATATAAAAAAAATAACAGGGGGACAAAGTTTACATAAGGAATCAAATGAAAAAGGTTAGCACACGTATTGATAACAAAGACCTTCATAAGGGAACATGGACTTTTCCCGATGAAAAAATTAAAACCAGATAGATCATGTCCTAATTAAAAGCAAACATGATAAAACGATAATCGATTGCAGGACTTACAGAGGGGCGGATACCAACAGTGACCATACACTAATAATAGCAAAACTAAATCAAAAAACCTTCTTCTTAGGTAGCCTGTCCGTTCCGAACGTTGGCGATCATTCTGGCTATGATTACTTTGTGGGTTGCTATACGAAATAGCTGTGTTGAGGTTTTTCTATACCATGCTCCCAGGTTAGCAAAGCCAGGATATTCTTCTTCGTCCTGGGGGCCTTTTTCCTTCAATTTTACCTTGTAAAATGCATTGGAGTAGCTCGTGTCTGCCTCGATTTCTCATTATATGGCCCAAGTACTGCAACTTACGGCCCTTAACGATGTTGATCAAATCCGCAGTTGTGTTCATCCTCCGCAGTACTTCTTCATTGGTGACTTTGTCTGTCCATGATATCTTCAAGATCCTTCTGTATGACCATAGCTCAAAAGCCTGAAGTTTTGATAGATTTTCAGCCTTTGATGTCCACGTTTCTACTCCATACAGAAGCACTGAGTGCACATAACATTTAAGGAGCCTTCTCATGCGACATTTAATCTCTTGGGTATTGTCCCACGACTCATTGATTATGATTCTTAAGTAGTTGTATTGTGAGACAGTTATGTTTTCCTTGCTGATGATTATTAGCTTGATTTTGCTGGTATTTATATCCAGTCCATATTTTCTACTTGTTTCCCTTATTTTGTTGATTAAATTTGACAGCCCTTCTATGGTATTAGGAAACACTATTGTATCATCTGCATACCACAGGTTGACGAGCTTGATTCCATTTATTGAGATACCTTCATCAATATCTTTTAGAGCCTCTTCAAAAATTTGCTCCGAGTATAGATTAAATATCAGTGGTATAATTATCCACCCCTGTCTCACTCCCCTTAAGATTTTAACCTGATCTGTATATTCTCCATCTATTCGGAGTACTGCTAATTGATTCCAATACAGGTTAGCTATTATTTTAAGTCTTTTCCGTCAATCCCCGTCCTCTTCAGCACTTCCATCATTTGTTCATGTCTGACTCTATCGAAAGCCTTCTTGTAGTCAATAAGGCATTTAAAAATATTACAGCTGACATCTTTACATTTCTGGAACAATACCTGCACGCTAAATAAAACTTCGCTCGTACCAACGGCGTTCACAAATCCAAACTGATTGGGAGCAATTTGTTTGTCGCATTTCCGGTAAAAATTTTTGTGGATGACTTTTAAAAACAGCTTCAGCAGATGGCTCATTAGGCTTATGGTCCTATAATCTTCACAAACTTTATACTATAACTAGCTAGAACTACCGATAATTCCAAAACCTATTAGAGATAGATTAAATTACCAAAACCTGTTAAGGTCAATTCAGACACATCAGTCACGTCTCGTCACCGTGATTGCGCCGAATCGGACAATCCGTCATACAAAATATTCTTTAATACAAATATGTTGCCGGCATTCACACTCATCAGTTGACAAACAGTTTCCCAGCTGTCAGATAGTTGATAGTTCTGTGACCAAATAGGACCGGTTCGGTACCGTGACTGTGACGTGACTGATGTGCCTGAATCGACCTTTAGAGATAGATTAAAGTACCAACTAGAGCGCCTTCGAGAGAAGCAGGTAGTAAACAGACTAGAGAATGAAATAAATAAAAAACTACAGAATCTAGTCAAACAGGATATAGAAGAAGAATGACAGACGATACAGACGGCCATGTGTAAAGCAGCGGACATATATATTCTATCTACGTTCTTACACATCCCTTATATCGCATCTCGTAAAATCGCAACCCCCGGTCGTAAATGTCAAACGGCTTAACGTAAGATAACGTGTAAGATATCGTTGGAAAGGGGATAAAAAATTTGGTTGAAAGCAGTATGTGCCGGGTACATCAAAGCATGCCAATAGGACATTATATTGTATATTCCTTTCTATTGGTCCGATCATGACGTTGTCATGATCGGTCAGAGGACAAAGAATACGTTGAGGTAAAAAACAAACATGGCGGCGAATGTCACGTCATTCATGGTGAGCCAGGCGACAAGTCATGCAAGTGGACGAATACGCATATCTGACAACAATGATTAACTCCACAAATGATTACATTCAGGAGATCAAAATCAGAATAGAAAAGGCTAGAGCAAATTTCAACAAAATAAGAAGAATGCTATGTACAAGGGATTTAAAATTGGATTTAAAGTTAGGTTCAATGAAAAAACTGGAATCAATGAAACTGTATAGAAGAATTCTGAAAATATCGTGGACAGAACACGTCATAAACAAAGAGGTTCTGAATAAAGAAATAAAAATTTGAAATACAATTAAAACAAGAAACTTTGAATATCTTGGATATATTACACGTGGAAAGAAATACACCTTGCTCTAACTGATTATGCAGACAAAGAGCCAAGAAAAGAGAAGCTTAGGGAGGCGTAGAATGTCATGGCTGCGCAACCTGAGAGAGCGATACTGATATACATCAAATGAACTTTTCAGAGTAGCCGTCTCAAAAGTCCGAATAGCTATTGTGATTGCCCACCTCCGCCGCGGAGATGGCACTTGAAGAAGAGAAGATTGATATTGCTAATTCCAACACATCGTCTCCAGTATCATTTTAAGTCCCAAAGCTTAGTCACAGAATAATCAATCAGAATGACCACTCTCCATGGAAAATTAAGTACGCGCATCTCGTTCGCGCAGACGTTCCGCCATGTTTTAGAGGGAACCAGTGTTGTTTATGTGGTGTGCATAGAAGAAATAACCCGGTTTAATTGACATACAGCAATCATAGACATACTATAGGTACAATTATATTAACATTGTTAAATATAATAATATATAATATAATTAAACATAAATATAAATAATTACATAACCTCACAAATCATATGTCTGTGTTATGTGTTTCCTTCTAAAACATGGCGCGCGTGCTGAAAAACTTCAAAGGCGGCATCTGAGAGTGGGCATTCTGATTGTTTATTATTGCAACGAAACATTTGATAAAAACAGATTCCACAAGAGGAAAAATTTCCAGAAACTGCTGAAAAAGATAAAAACACTCATATAAAATAGAGCCTTCTATATTCGTTAGACAAAACCAATTAAAATTGGTTTTGTCTAACTATATTTGCTTTTGTCTATATTCGTTAAACAAATTAAAAGAATAAAAATTAAATAAACTAAACTCATTCTTTATTTTTGTTTATGTAATTTAGCTTACCGTTCCTGAAAACATTTTCTCCATAGCACACATCTCGTACAAAATGCATCCCAAGGCCCAAATGTCAGATTTAGCGTTATAGGGTTCCCCGTTGCAGAGCTCCGGAGCCAAGTAATTACAAGTTCCGATTATAGTATTGGCTTTGTTTTCATTGATCAGGGCTTTAGAAATGCCAAAGTCACCAATTTTGACGACATCGCCACGTAGGCCTGTTAGAAATATATTTTCGGTTTTCAGATCTCTGTGAATCACTTTTTGTTGGTGTATATGATCCAGTCCCATTAGAATTTGACAGAAAAAATCCATAACGTACTAAAAGAAATAAATGATTATAACAAAGATATAAGATGTTCCTAAAAAAGAATGATGTATTAAATAATTGTATATAATTTGTTTATTACAAAGAGAATTGTATTGAGACTAATTAATCATAATTATTACCTATAATCTTATGATATAAATTCTTAATTTTTAAATATTAATAATTTATTAATATTTAGAAGTGGGCGTTAGTGAATATAATAAGCAAATCTGCCTCGCAGACTGTACTGTTTGTGCGGTACCGGATGCTCCCGCCCACCTTTTTAACTGCCCGAGATGGGGAAATGAGATGGGAGATTTCGAGAGGCGAATGGGTTTCGAGCTGGATAGAAGAAATATTGTAAACATTATGTTGAGAGGAGGAAAGGAATGGAGAGAAGTACACTGTCTAATTTCTGGGGTGATGAAGAAAAAAGAACAGGAGGACAGAAGAGGAAATTAGGCCAGGGATCTAAAAATTTATAGTTAATATTGTTTATTAGTTTATGGTCTAACGTCTAAACATTTTCTGATTTACGGTAATAAGTATGTTTATATATAAATTTTTAGTTATTTATTGAGTGGCAAGACCACCTCTCTGGAACGGTGGTTAAGGTTTTAGCCGAAACACGGTTAATCCGGCACTACCCTGGCGTCTTCTGTCTTAGTATCCCACTCGGCCGAAAAATACCAGGGTGTCTTGTTCCGTAACGTAGAGGACCAAAAAACATTTCTCCCACCGTTGCCTGTCAGAATCCAATGGATACCTTCTTAGGCTCTTACTGGAATCTGGCAATACGGCAATTAAAAAAAATATTAATAAGCTTTGAAAAGCCATTGGCATTAACCACTGCAAGGTAAATAAACACATATTGACATTGCAGAAGTCACGGCTATTTTGATACAATTATAAATAAATAAGGATTATTAAAATACGAGGTATTAATATTGTTTTCATTAGGATTCGGTATTGTTGTTATTGTTTTTAATTATGTTCGATTACCATTCGATAATATAAACAAGTTAATATGCTAATCTAGTGAAACAAAGTGCATTTTATTATAAATCCATTTACTAAGGACCTAAGGCCCACCACGTCATTTCCAGCATCACACTTTAACACAGAGTGGCAACGAGAGAGAGAGAGCTATGTAAATTAGGTGTCGAACACCTAGTACGACAAATGCATATGCTTATGAACAAGATTTGGAATAAGGAAAAGATCCTTACCGACTGGAAAACCGGGATTATATTTCCAATCTATAAAAAAGAGGATAAACTGCAGTGCGAAAATTATCGTGGCACAACCCTCTTGTTCACAGCGTACGTTTTTACTTATAACTAAATAAACGACTCAAACAACTAACTGAATATTTTGTCGAGGAATATCAAACCGATGTCCGACAAGGAACATCTACAACTGACCAGCTATTCACAGTGAAACAAATTCTAAAACATTGACGTCCACAACATATTCATCGATTTCAAACAGGCCTACGACTCTATTAATAGACAAAAATTATATCAAATATTGCATAGCTTTAACATCCTCCAGTGGTAATACATCCGACTAGTAATAGCAATAATGGACTCGTAAACAGCAACTGTCAGAGTACAAAATGAGCTCACTGAGAACTTTTTAATAATCAAAGAATTAAAACAAACAGACGACGGGCAGGCACCGACACTATTCAACCTGACTTTTGAATACGTGGTAAGAAAACTGAATATACTAAGGTAATCTCTTAGAGACAGCAGAAATATTTTATTTATCTGCCGTCTCTTATAAGGCTGCATATATATGTCGCATATATATATATATATATATATATATATATATATATATATATATATATATATATATATATATATATATATATATATATATATATATATATATATATATATATATATATACAGTAGTCTCTCTTTATAACGATTCCCTATATAACGATAATTCCTCTATACTGATGAAAATAGTAAACGTTGGTTGGTTCGTTATAAGGACAATGTATTAATTCTTTCTCTTTACCGATATCGTTCTCTCTTTATAGCGATAACTTTTCAGTGTTCAATAGTCGATGACTATTGAAGTGACGTGTTTAAAGTTCAACTACCTTAGTCACAAGTGGTAAGGTCATTGTATAACGGTTGTTTTGCTTTGTGCTTAAGGAATTCGGAATCCCATTCTACTCATTCTCATCAGAGGATTAAGTGACTCGCTTTTATTGTTCGGGTGGCATGACTAATTGTTATCACACAAATGTTGTCATCTATTGACGACTTTTCATTTCCAGTTTGAGTTGTGTATCAGTATATTAACAGTAAACATGTTTTCGAAAAAGCGTAAAGTGCTCTCGGTGGAGGAAAAGTTATCGATAACTCGAGCAATAGAGAAATGTGAAAAGCAATCGGATGTCGTTCGCCGTACGGGACTGTCTCAGTTAACTGTGGCTACGATTTGGAAGGACAGAAAAAAGTGGTTTGAAGCGGAGATGGAGGGCGGTAGCACGAAAAAGTTACGGAAACCTCAGCATGAAGATTTAGATCGCGCTATGCTTCAGTGGTTCCAGCAGCAGCGATTGAACCATATTCCACTTTTTGGGCCTGTGGTCAGGTCAAAAGCTGAGTTTTTTGTAATTGAGCTTGAAATTGAGAATTTTAAGGCCTCTGAGCGTTGGCTGAGCAAGTGGAAGCTGTGGCACAAGATTAACTACGTGAAAATCAGCGAAGAGGCTCACGATGTTAACAAAAACGTAACGGATGATTGGCTACAAAACGTGTAGCCTGGACTGAAGGCACGATATGCGTCAGACGACATTTTCAATGCTAATAAGACTGGATTGTTTTTTAAAATGACACCAAACAGAAATTTAAAATTTAAATCGGAAAAGTGCGTTGGTGGAAAGCTCTCTAAGGAACGCATTACAGTTTTAGTGGCCGCTAACATGACAGGTTCGGTGAAGCGAAAATTGTTAGTGATATGGAAGTCGAAAAACCCACGTTGCTTTAAAAACATAAAAAAATCAAACGATGACCTATAAAAAAACAAGAGTGCGTGGATGACTTGTGAGAGTGTGATAAAGAAAGTGGAATATCGAGCTTAAAGGGAAAAAATTCTGCTAGTAGACAATTGTCCTGCTCATCTTGTACTGTGCCACCTTCAAAATATTGAACTTTGTTTTCTGCCAGCAAACAGAACAAGTGTCCCTCAGCCCATGGACCAAAGTGTCATCAAGAGTTTGAAAAGCCATTACATGAGAAGACTTTTGATGAAATTGGTTCAGAACAATAGCAATCTTAAACTAAACATTCTTGACGCCATCCTAATAATTAGTAAATCCGAGGACGAGGTGACGAGCAATACAGTAAAATAGTCCTTCAAATACGCAGGATGGCTGGAAGGTCAAGGATTGACAGATGATGAAGATGACCTGCCAGTAGATGTTTGCGCCAGAGAGTTTGAACTTACTATCAGCTACGGACCGGAAGAGCTAACAGATTTTGAAAAAGATGAAAATGTAGCTACAACATCTGAACTTTCTGGCAAGGACATCCTACAAGCAGTTCATGTATAAGAAGAAAACAGTGAATCTGAAGTTTAAGCAGAGCAGGAACCAGCTCCGACCTCTCAGCAGGCATTGGATGCGGCATAAGTACTGCATCGATTCTTCATTAACCAGGAAGACGATATGAGTGCTATGAAAGATTCTATGCGTCTAAAGAACAAGGCCAGGTCAGTTCTGTGGAAAGGGAATATTAAACAGACCAAGGTGACGGACGTTTTTGGTAATATTGGCTGAATATATTTGTACAGTCATTTTTTTATACTGTATTTATTGTTTATTTCATTCTCTAATAAATCTATGTGGTGTACAGTACAGTGTTAAACCATTTATGTTCGTTTTGATAAATTTTTTAAATTAAAATAGGTTATTTAGTACAGTATAATTAATATTATAGTACCGAATTTTTTGTCTCTCTGTATAACGATCTCTCCTTATAATGATGAAAATTCCCGGTCCCTTGCATATCGTTATAGAGAGAGAGGACTGTATACATATATATATATATATATATATATATATATATATATATATATATATATATATATATATATATATATATATATATATGCCGCATAAAATAAATATAATTAAAAACGGAAGGAGAAGAGATCGGACTAAAATAAATTTAATATTCAAAAAAACTAACACAGGCAAGAGCTAGGGAAAACAGACGCACAGTTGAGTTAGAGGACGATATTGAAACTGTAGAAAGTTTCTCTTATCTGGGAGTTACATTCAGGGGTAAGTATTTGGCAGAAGAGGACCGCGACGCCGTCGTATCTCGTGGTTGAAAAATCTCCGACAATGGTTTGGGATGACCTCAGCGGAGCTGTTTCGCAGAGCAGTCAACAAAACCATGATAGCCTTGATGATCGCCAACATCCGGACCGGATAAGGCACTGAAGAAGGGAGTTACATTAAAAACGGATAGAAGAGAAGAACCAGAAATTCAAAGAAAAAAGAATGGTAAAGGAAAACAAAGCTAACTTTTCACTCGCCCATGTGTTCCGCTCCAAAAACATACACTGGAGATTAAAAGTTAGGGTCTACAAAGCTATTATCAATCCAATAGTATGTTATGGATGCGATACATGGGTGATGACAGGAGATACAAAACGAAAGCTGGAAAGAAAAGTGTTTGAAAGAAAAGTCCTAAGAAAGATATTTGGACCTAATAATAAAAACGGAGTATGGAGATCCAGGTACAACCATGAACTTTACCAACTGTTCAAAGAGGCACCGATCTCAGAATTCGTAAAACTTCAGAGACTTCTATGGGCTGGTCATTTAGTGAGAATGAATACTAGAATACTTCGGTCACATTATGAGACACCCTGAAAAATCTGATCGGTCACGAAACTAGAAAAAAAAAAGAATACTAGAAGATTACCAAAAAGATTAGCGCTATTGGAGAGAGAGAAAGAGAAAGAGAGAGAGAGAGAGAGAGAGAGAGAGAGAGAGAGAGAGAGAGGCAACGAGAGAACAATACCCAAAAAATATTACGGTTATGCACATGCCGGTTACAGCAAACTGAAATTGGAAGAGTTCGCTCATAATTGCATACGGTACAAAAGGACCAAAAATGATAAAAATAGCTGAAATTTATATCCCAAATAAGGAACGCTAGACAGTAAAACTACATAATATAGAGGTAACAAGTTAGAGAAGTTGAAGATTTGAGATTGAAAATAAAAAACAGAAAATAGGAAATAGTACAACTGTAGGAAAGCCAACATTCTAGAGACACTTAACGGCTTACCTGCTGCACTTCGATAAGCAGTAATTTAAACAAAATTCAAGATAAGCTACAAAAATCTCTTTGATTGCTTACTTATTCCACAATCGTTGAAGCTACTTTTTAAGCTGTATCGATATGTGTTCTTTGAACTCATATTCTTCACATATTTTACACTTGAACTTTTGGAAACCTTGCTAACATCTCTGGGATAAAAGCTATCTAGACAATTTCTTAACAGAAACAAAGGAAGACCATCTCCATAGTCTGGAACGACGATCAAAGACGACAAACGAAGTTGTGGCACACCCTATGTACTGCCTTGAATTTTTACCATATTCTGGTATACTGCACAAATCCTCTAACTATTCAGGTGGTTACTCTATTCTAAACTGACATTTTACAGAGAGTAATTACCACTTTTTACAGGTTTTGAAACTTAACCCATTACACAAAATTACCGGGTGTTGATTTAAAATGTCACACGTCCTTTCAACTCGAATGCTTCTCCCTACCTAAAATTGACCTTCGTTCGATTTACAAACCAAACGCAAATCACTCCCCCTTACGTCATAGTTTTTCACAAACAAAATTTGTTTAATTTACTGTTTGTATTTTGAGAACGATTTCCGAAGTGGAAATTGAAACGTCAATAAACGTATTTTTATCTTTAATTGTGGCTTATTCCCAGTTAAATAGTAATTAATTTAAAACTACTAGTTTAAAGGCAACATAATATTGAATAACGTGTCCAAATTTCGAGACATTTTGTTGGTAAATAACAGAGAAAACACTATCTCTAGGTTTTGGTGTACCGATAAAACAGCCTTAACCTTAGTCACAATTTAATATTTACGTCTGCATTCACTTAATCTCTGTTGTAAAAGACCTCCAAACAAAAACTGTAAAATATGTTACTTCGAGAATTACGCCCAACATTTACGCAGACAGCCAATCCCCCTAACCTTGGAATAACAACCAATCGCTAGACGTAGAATGAAAATACGATATATCTGATAAATTTTAAACAGTTAACCTCAATTTGCGTGTCAAATAATGTTAGTAAATAAAGTTGCTTAAATCAAAATAAATATATACAAGATTTGATTTTTTTGTTTATTTTTTTGTTTTTTTTTTTCGATATAAAAAATATATTGAGCACACTTTACCTGTGGTGCAAAAGCATTTGGTCGTTCCTTTTCAATCAGCTGCTGCAAGGTTCCCTTGCTGGCGTATTCCATCACAATATAAAATATCCCTTTTCTATCGTAACTATCACAATACCGAATAATGTTGGGATGATTTAACGATTTCAATATCGCTACTTCGTTCTTAGCCGCCTGCAGCTGGGGTCCACCTAGTTCTAAGGTTATTTGTTTTAGCACCAATTTTTGTTTGTTGTGGATTATCTCACATAAATGGATGGTTCTGAAATAAATATGGGTGTTAAATAATATTATGAAAATTGTATCCAGTAACTTCAACATCTAGAACTTACCAAAACAAATACTAAATTAATTATTGTAGCAGGAAATCTGCAGAACAAGTAGAAGAGAAAATGACAAGGCAGTAGGAAGATGATACAATAAACTATAGCAAGGAGACCTTGTTCTACATGGTGTTTCACATGGTCTTAAGGCAATTTTTTTTTAATTCGTGTAAAAATACCAGCTTTTTGAATAAAAAATTAAAACTGCGACATTACAAACAAAATTGGCCCTTTGTCTTTTTAAATAATATTGTGTCGAATTTCTAAAATAAAAAGCTAACTACAACGATAACAAGAGTCATAGGACAAGCTCCTATGGGATTGAATAAAAAAGGTTTTTCAATAAAAAAATTTATTCTATATACCCAAAACACTGACATTTTGCAAGGAAGTATATTAATTTAACTTTAAATATTGTTTAATTAAAATTAAAAATTAAATTAAAATTAAAATATTTTACGCTTCTATTACCAAGTGACAAACCTCGGTCAAGGAACGATCAGGTATCGGCAAAATCTATATGCCCATTTTTGCAGTGAGTACCCAAAAGTTTAAGTATCTGAACAAGGAGTTTCAGATCAAAACCGGGTTATTATAAGAAACAATCTTATCCCAGAGAGTAGACGCAATATCATGAGAAGCGAAGTGGAACGGAAGATTAATAATCAGGAGGTAAGGGTGGATCAAGTCCCTAATGAAATACATGAGCAGATTCTTGAGTTTGTCATAGTCATAGAAGAAATTCAACCTGATAATAAACAACAGGACTTAGCAGACCACCGCAACCAAAAATAAACCCTTCTAAAAACTAGGTGCACACCCTGGGAAAAACGGATTCTAAACAAGATTGATTTATTGCGTAGGGATATTATTCAAATATCCGAATATATACAAGTAATAACAAGTAGAAAAGTCATCAGAAGAGCTGAAGAAATAATGGATATTAGTGAAATGACAGAATGTATATGAGGAATAACATGTAAAAAAGTCATCAGAAGAGCTGAAAAAATAATGCAGAACACTGCAAGACAATCGCAATATTTTCCAGAAAATTCCATTTATTTAGGATTGCTAAGGAGGTAGAGTCAATAACAGCTGAAAATGTGACAGTGCGCTTTTTGAGCATGCCAAGAAGGCGTTCTATCGGAAACTGAATTTCACTTTAAAAAGTGTCGATAAATCATACCCAATCCAAGAAGAAATTTTTATCATCAATGCTAGATGGATAGAAGATACAACCATCTACTATAGAAGTACTACCCTCTATAAATAGTTTACCACAGAAGAAATCCCTAATATCATCAAAAAGCTTCGTAACTGGAAATCTGGACCAGACGAAGTTTCAAACTTCTGGCTTAAGCACTTCTGGAAAGCTGATGAGTACTTATCAACACCAATTAATCATGTTATTTCTAATCCGCAGGAAATACCATAATTTCTAACTCAGAGAACAACTTATTTAATACCCAAGAATCAAAATAATACCCAAGATCCAGTCAAGTATTGCCCAATTACTTGTCTTCCATATACTTTGTATAAGCTGGTCACATCCTGTGTAGCCCAGCGTATTTACCAACATTGTGGTCTAACCAATATCATAGAACATTAACAGAAGGGATGCACTAAGAGTTACATGGAATGCAAATAACAACTTTATTATCGACTCAGTCATTTCTAACTAGGCATACATCAAAAAAAGCAACCTCTTTACAGTCTTTATTGACTACAAAAAAGCCCTTAACTCAGTACCGCATGAATGGCTTGTAGATATATTAAGAATATATAAAGTTGATGGTAATTAGTAAAGTTTTTCACTATATAAGTACTATCCCAGCAATTAAACTCCACTGAGTCAGGTTTTAGCATTAAAAACAACAATACTGCAGTGGCGAAGATTATTGATCTGTTTAATATGCATAACTTAAAACTAATGGCTTCCACTCGAAACCACTTAGATCAGATGCTAAAAACTGTAGAATCATTATCTAGTGATATTAGTATGCACTTCGGGCTAAACAAGTGTCGTGTTTTGAATATGTCAGAGCAAAGGTTCAATCTGGATTTGATATGCAAAATTGTCAAAAGATCGAGGCTCTGGGTGAAAATGACATGAATGTACAAATATCTAGGTGTAAAGCAAGCAACAAATAAAAATAAAATTAATTTCAGATTTTATAAAAAGAGTAAAACAGCTACTCACGTTTATTTAAGGTACTAAACACCCTCGCATTTTAGTGCTTAGTTATTCATTTGGTATTATTAAGTGGACTAAAACAGATATAGAAATTCTTCAGCGAAAAGTAAGAACACACCTCACAAAGGCCGATATTACCGAGGTATTTAGGAAGACGAAGACTTATGGATATAAGTAAGCAATAAGAAAAACATATTACTAATTTAAGAACTTCAGATACAGGCTGACATCTACTCTACATCGCGTGATTTGCACAGTAGATGACACAATACCGATCAAACTGAGGGATTCAAAAATGTGCATAAAACATTTAAGAATGGAAAAAATGCACATCTGGATGAGTAAGCCTCTGCACGGGCGACATCCCAATAAAGTCAGTCAAGACTATGTCGATAATATAGCGCCGAACTATTGGTTTACATCAGGAAAGATGTTCCCCGAAACAGAAGGTTCATTACTTGCCATTCAGAAAATTACCTGAAATATATCGTCAAATACCCTCAGGTCCAAAACGACAAATGCCGATATAGACATCAAGTCTAAGAAACCATCCATCATCTTACCGGGGGCTGCTAAACATTTGCTGCAACTGAATATAAGGAACGGCATGACTCAGTAGGGAAGATCCTTTATCAAGAGATAGTTTTCAATCTGGGACTTCTCCAAACAAACCATCTTCTATATTACCAATACGTTCCTGAAAGTATGCTTGAAAATGACAACTACAAGCTATGACTTGGATCGCACTGCTCTTACGGCCAAACAGTAGCACATAATAGACCAGATCTCGTATAAACAACACTAATCGATGTGGCCATACCTAACAACAATAATATGTGTGTTAAATACCACGAAAAGATCGCCAAGTACAGAGATCTGGAAATACAAATAAGGAGACAATGGAGAATGGAAAGTACCCAGAGGATACCTAGTATTCTTTCTACTACTGGAGTTATTCCGAAGAACATCCTAGAAAATAAAACAAAGCTGGGTTTAAATAAATATCTCTATAAGACCATGCAGAAAGTTGTGCTACTCTCGACATCCAGAGGCGTACGAGCATTTTTGGGAGATACGCCGACGTATCAAGTCACCTAGGACTCGATAACACGGAAAAAGTTTCACCAGAGCTCAATTTTTTTTTTTTTGATACCGTAGGTATCTGGGATGAGTGAATTCTCCCCTTTAAGGGAGTGTGACTCTGGCTAAATCTGATTAATCATAATAGCTTTATTCTCCAACAGCTATAAATTTTAAGGACAATTTTATATAGGACAATATAAACTAAATTTAAAATGCATTTATATTTATATTAAGAGTTTGCATTAATCAAAGAAAAGCTGAAACAACTACCGACTTAATAAAATATCTAAACGAATCTTAGCCATTGTGATAAGCTGATTTAGACTAGAGTTGAATAAAGCATAATAGTTTACCAAACAATTATAATTTTTACACATAATAAATATGGGGAATTTAACATCAGATTTGTTCTGGCTTGTGTAGTTCTAAATGTGAAAACATTTCTAACAGAATAAGAAAGTACGCTAAAATGTATTGTCTGTTTGAGAATATAGGGGACAGTCAATTGAATTATGTAACAATTTAAATAAAAAAGAAATTACAAAACTTTTTTATTCTCCCCATGTAGATATACCGGGCAATATACCTAGATAAAAGTATGAGAAGAAGACAAAACTTACCCGAAAGCTCCTCTGCCTAATAATTTAACGGTATTATAGTAATCCATTATTTTTATTTAGTTTGTCACTTATTAAAATATTTTATTTTTCTACTGTGTATCGTGGTCCCAAATAATGAATGAGTTTAATTACTCTAAAAACCACGTTTGGTTTTTGCAACAAAAAACTACCACAAACTGATAGATACGAGGAGTTGTTAAATTGTTCGAAGGAAATAATTCATTAATTATTTTAATTTACAAGTTATGTAGAGGCTAAGTATGTAAATTGATATTTTCTCCATTTCTCTAACAATTTTTAATCTTTTCATATCTTATAACTGATGTTACAGATTTGCCGTATCCATTATAATTCTTTTATCATTCTTCCTACAAAATCCAATGATCCTAAAACCATTTCTAGTGTAATTAAAGAACTTAAACTTTCATGACATCATCAACGACTTAAGAATGAATAAAAGGAACTACAGCAGATTACTATCGCTATTTCATCGTCTTTGATAACGTCTATAAACGTCTGGCGTTTGATAAACACCATAAAAGAGGTTCTGTGTATATTCTTTCTTCTTTTCTGGAACTAGTCGAACTAGAATAACTTGTACCCATATATATATATATATATATATATATATATATATATATATATATATATATATATATATATATATATATATATATAGGGGACAGTTCCCATAAATGGGGCCCCATTACATTTTGTGACATAAAATGAAAATTTGTAATAAATAAAATATTTTACACAATCATGTAGTTAAAGTGTGTCCTCAGGTACCAGAAAACAGATAGAGTATTTACAAAAATTACGTAAAGACAGAAATATACTTTTTGAAAATGTGCAAATACCTCATTTATCATGAAAGGGTGGGTAAAATGGGGTACATTGAAATATTAGGTTATTTTTTAATTAAACATGTGATTAAGTATTGAACATTATTATACAATAGGTTTAGTACAACAGTATTAAAAAATAAAAATCAAGCTATAAACAAAAATCACATATAAAAGTGTCATCATCTTCACAGCTTGAACAAGCTTCATGTGCCCAGCCACCACATTTGCAGCACCGAATCCAACCTTCCTGATCGAAAGAGTTTTTGTACATTTCGTTGCTAAAATAGATAGCATCTTCGTCTTTTTCTTCCTCGTCTTCATTAGAGGGCGTATCAAAATCTTCAGCCTAACAATTTTTATTTTTACGCTTATTTTGGATAGACAAACCATTGTTTTGTTTCATTTTCTTGTGCAGTAGCAGAACTGGTTTTCTAGTATTTATTTTCTTTAATAGATTATCACTAAAAGTCACAGATTTTTTATTTTTGTTGAAAAGGTCTTTTTGTGTTTACCTTCTTGTTTCTCTTGACGCTCCTGTTCTTCGGCCTCTAATTCAGCCTTGTATGGTGACCATGTTAATATGACAGTTTTACCTTTCCTCTTGCTACTATTTCTTTTTACACGCTCCTTTTCTTGGAGTGGGGGCATCAAAATTTTTGATAAAAGCAGAAAAGCTGATTTGGGTGACGTAGACCCACCTGTTGAAGTAGAGGGCTCAGAAGAAGTTTCTTTATAAGGCTCAGGAGAAGCGTCGTTAGAAGGCACAGTTCCACTTGAAAAAGTAGAATGTCTGTTCTATTGTTTGTGGTATTGGTAGTAGTGGCGCATGATATCTGCTGCTCAGAATTGTGGTTTGGTTGTTCTGTGGTATCTGACGGGACAAACAGCTAATCAGGGAATACATCTCTATTGAAAGGATATATTCCTGTATTTTCAAATCCCTTCACTGCGGTTTGAACATTAGCTGCTCTTGAAAAAGCAGCATTGACTAGTTGTCCAATTTGATAAATTGTAACACCCCTGCCAGAATGATTAAGCAAACATTTTTGAACCTCTTGTGCATAAAATGTACTAAGGGGTGCCATAAATGAGACATCGAGCGGTTGTAATCGATGTGTGGTGTGTGGTGGAAAACATAATATGTTATATAACGTTATTTTCCCCGAGCAAGATAATGGAGTTCTTAACTTTTGGTATGAGAACTGTGTCCATCAAGAATAAGCAGCACTGGTTTTTGAAGTCCGGGATTAGAAAACTCAATAAACTTTTTAAACTATACAATAAAGTTTTCTTTGGTAATCCAACCAGTCTCATAATACACTGCAGATGACCCTGGTGGGGCACCATCTACTTTCTAACGGAGAAATACAAACATCTCGGGCATAAAATTATCTGCAGCATTCATACAAGTTTCTAAGGTCACCAGTACACCTCGTGCTACTGAGGACAAACAACCTACTTGCTTATTGCCATGCAAGCACGCATTCTTGAAGGCTTGTTAAGTACAGCCATAATGCCGCTTTTATCTATGTTGTAGATATCATTGGGTGATAAATTGTGTTATGTATATAAAGATTCAAGCAAATCAAAAAATGTCTTTACTGCTGCTCGATTAAAACCTTTTTCTCTTGTCAGTGAAGTTTTTTAGGATTACGTAATGCTAATTGGGGGTGTCACCGTAAAAAGCCATAAAACCAATGTTTACCAGCCATTTTCTTATCTTCATTAAACACGTGTGGAATGTGATTTTTAACGGCTAAATCGAAAGCTAGTTTTCCTAAATCTGTTAAGCTAAGGCCAAACAATCTTTCTTCCAAATATAAAATATAATCCACAAGTTCATTTTCTTGCGCTTCGAAAAACACAGTCTTAAATCTACCCAATCTGTTTTCTGCAGCTTCTTTCGAACTCAATCCTTTTTCCTTTCCTCAATCCTTTCAAAGTAGTTTCTGGAATAGCGTACAGCTTCGATGCTTGTCTGTAACCCATGTCTTCATTTTTAGCTCCCCTTACCATCCCCATTTGACCCATTTATGACTTAATTAAAGAAAAATATGTGAAAATGTAGCTTAAAGATAGCGAAAACAAAGGTCTACTTTCCGAAATTGATTATTTCAATGTACCTTGCTAACACCAATCACCAGTTCAGGTTGAAAGTGTAAACAAATCACAAAAGTCTTGGATCGACTGCAGAATACACAAAGCAAACATAAGCTCACACCTCGACTACTTACTGCAAACTGGTTAGTGCAAACGCGATCAGTCTATCTCTTTTGCAAGTGTGACGTTACTTGGCGATAAATATCACCAGAAATGTTCTGTTTTGCATGGAGTTTTGTCAGATTTAGTATTATTTTATCGTTTATCTAGTACGTTGACAAATAAATGTGTGCATTTTTGATAAAATATATTTCAGAATATTAAATTAAAGATAAACTTTTATCACCAATTGACGTCATGCGCATCGACGTACAAAATTCGATTGCAAAGTGGTTTTATCTTGGAAGTCATAGTATCACGCGTCGTTCGGCGGTCAATTCCCCACTCTATTACTGAAATTTTGAATGTCTCCATATTACCTTGCGACCCCGTTTTAGGCGACTGTCCCCTAAATATATATATATATATATATTTTTTATAGGTTTAAATTAGATGAGTTTAGACAAAAAAACATAAAATAGGTATATGATTAAAAACGGACTTTATTGATACATTTTTTTGCAGTATATATAAAATTATACGATTATACGATCATTATAGTAGAATAACGCTGTCACTTGTCTCCAACACTTCAAAACGCAACCTAAAAAAAATAATTTTGAATTTTAATAAACCAATAATAAATGTTGAATTTAAATATTATTTTATGTGGGATTAAACGACAATTAATTGTAATCAGAATTAAATTTGTTTTGACGTTTCGATTTCCAAATCGAAAATCGTTTTCAAAAAAAAAATTAGGAAATTATTATATTTAACGTGTTTATAAATCGGTGCTGGGTGGTAAAACCGATTTGACAGTTATCAGTTGACTTACTTGGCCCCAATATTGTAAGAAAATAGCATATTAATTTAGTGAAATACTGAGGTGTTATATTGCAGGTTATTTGTAGAGAGTACCCAGAGATTCAAGTATCTACACAGCGAATAGCAGATCAATACCGGGTATTTATAAGAAATAATCTTATCCCATAGACTAGACGCGATTCCATCAGAAGCGAAGTCGAACGGGAGATTCATAACAAATAGCTAGATATTGATCAAATCCTTAACGAAATCCCCAATGAGCAGACTCATAAGGCTCTCGTACAAGAAACTTAACCTACTAATACACAGCAAGCCAACAACGAGTTGTATGATAGCATGGTTAACTAGGTGCGCTTTTACAAATTGTGAACACCCAAGTCCTACCCAATTATATCGTGGAAGCCCATACATTATAATATTCGCATACGCTGATTTACTGTGCAGTAACCGCAATTGGTAATTTTATGGGCATTAAGATCAGAACACACCAGGGTACTAATGTCGGAAGTACTGAAAACAGCATTGCACCCTGATAAAAATGACTGCTGAGGAAAATTGAATTATTGCGTAGGAATATTGGACAAATTACGGAATGCATTCGAAGCGTAAAAAAGTCGAAAAGTAATTAAAAGAGCTGAAGAAATAATTCTTAATACTTTCAGATACTTATAACTTGATCCAGAAAATAACATAGCCTGGATACATTAAAACAAAAACTCTCTATTTATTCAGGTCGCTTAAGGAGATACAAGTTAGTAATTACCGGAAATGCGACAATATACTTTGTAAGCATGCAGAAAAGTCTTTCTATAGAAAACTTAATTTCACTGTAGTGGAATAATAATAAATATAAAAATAAATTCTACACAAGCCAAGAAGAAATTCATAAGTTTTGAAGAAACTAACTTTCAACACCTGCTAGTCTTAACAAAAATGCTGGTTGGATTGAAGACATGACGAACACTTGTCAACACTAGAGTAATATTTCTTATGAACCTTTCACCACTGAAGAAGTCTCGAACATGATCAAAGAGCTTTATAACTGGAAATCTCCTGGATCAGATGGAATTCAAAACTTCTGGCTAGAAATGTTTTGAAGTGTTCCTGAGCTTCTAACAGTATTAATCAATCATTTCATCAGTTATTTCTAATCCGTAGGAAATATCACCATTTCTTACTAAGGGAACTACTTATCTAACACTGACGGATCACCAAGATCCAGCCAAGGAGCGTCTTCCAACTTTGTACAAATTGGTTATATCCTGTATAGCCCAGCGCATCTACTAACACTGTTCTCTAAACAATATCACAGAGCCTCAACAGAAAGGATGTGCTAAGGGTTCTACGGGCTGCAAAGAACAACATATAATCGACTGATTTCTAACCAGGCATACACCAAAGAAGGAAGCTTTTTACTGCCTTTATTAACTAAAAGAAGTCCTTTGATTCAGTACCGCATAAATAGCTTATAGATATAATGAAAATACATAAAGTCGATAATAGTATAGTGACCTTTTTAAAGCATATAATGGCGGAGTGAATGACTAAAATTCACCTTCAAATACCCGGTGAAAACAACATCGAAACTGAGGATATCCCAATTAACCGAGGCCTTTTCCAGGCGGACTCGTTGAGTTCACTTTAGTTCTGTTTAGCGATGAATCTACTAGCTTCTTCTTCTTCTTCAAGTGCCCTCTTTGCTACGGAGTTTGACAATCATTATTGCTATTCGTATCTTTGAAGCTGTTGCTTTAAATAATTAGTTAGATGTGCACTGGAATCAGTCTCTTAAATTGGGCAGCCAAGATATACGTCGTCTCCCCACGCTTCGTTTGCCCTGAATCTTTCCTTGGATAATTAACTGGAGCAATCGATACTTTTTCCTTCTCATCACATGACCAAGATATTTCAGCTTTCTTCTCTTGATTCTGATCAACAGCTCCCGTTATTTGTTCATTCTTCGAAGAACTACACTATTTATTATTTTGTCTGTCCAAGGTATTTTCAAAATTCTTCTATATATCCACATTTCGAAGGCCTCTAGTTTATCGATATTACTCTTGTTTAAAGTCCAAGTCTCTACTCCGTACAGCAGTATCGAAAAAATGTAGCATCTAACCAATCTCGTTTTCAGGTTTAGGTTAATGTCATGACTTCCCAGAATGTCCTTCATATTAACAAAAGCAGCTCGAGCCTTTTTCCAATTCTAGTTTTTATTTCTTCTGTGATGTCATTGTTATTATATTAGCTACTAAACTATATTAGCTATTAAACTCCAATGACTCAGATTTTAGCAATAAAAATAACAATACTATTGTGGCGGAGCTTAATCATCTGCTATATATGGATGGTTTGAAATTAATGGCTTCCAGTCGAAATCCCTGAATCAGTAAGAAAGCAGCAGCAAAATGGGTCATATCTTAATAGTAAAAATCTGATTAAGGCATTAAAAACGTACGACTGTTCCATACTAACTACTCATTTGGTAATATAAAGTGGTCAAAAATGGATATGGAAATTATTTAATGGAAACTAAGAATACTTCTCACAAAGGCGCAAAAATCATCCACACAGTGCAGTAGAGAGAACAACATTACCGCGTTATTAAGTGGATGAAACAACACCGCTCAAACTGAGGGAACAAGAAAGGCGCATAAACCACCTGAGTAAACAAGAAAAAATGCTCACCTGGATAAGTAAACCTCTACATGGGCGAGATCTCAATTGAGAATAACTAAGAATATGTCGACAATACAGCGTCGAACTATCATTGACATCCGGAAGGATGTTGCCCGAGACAAAGGGGTTTTCTACTTGCCTTTCAGGATCAGGTTATTCCAACTAAAAATTACCTGAAATATATTGTCAAAGACCCTCAGGTCCAAAACTAGAAATGCCGATATGGATATTATTCTCCCTACTACTAGATTAATTCTAAAAAGCCTCTTAGAGAATATAAAACAGCTACTGGTCCAGATATGTAAGAAAATTTTTGGGAAATACTCCGACGTACAAAATCACCTAAGTCTCGATAACACGGAAAAAGTTCCACCATAGCTCAATCATTTTGATACCGTAGGTATCTCGGATAAGTGAATTTTCTCCTTAGACTGAGTGTAAGCCTTATGGATAAATCTGGATAATAATAAAATATCAGCAATTTGGTCAGAAGGAAATACAATTCAACTTTGTTATCTCAATATTTTGTCATGATTTTGTGACTTCTTCAGGAGAAAACTGCAAATTCAATAGAATGATTAGGTGCTAATAAAAGTGTAAGAGTAGAAATTTACTTTTTTTAACATATCTCGATTATATTGATTTAATAATTTTATGATTTTGATATATTTAGGAGATATGGTAACTGCAATACATTTTATTTTAATAGAATGAAGTCTGATATTGAAAAATGTTTAGTGAATAGGTTAAGTAAACAAGAGATCGTATCAACGAACTTGTAAGGTGGAAAGGTACAATTAATTGTAAAGAAATAAAAAAAGACCAGGAGCATCTTAAATTAATCTATAAAATATAATTTATGGTACTTAGTGAGTTAGTAGAAGACTGATATTCGGAAATGGAATAAAAATTAAGATCGTGTACCTAAAAGATTGTGTTTGTTTGAAGTGAGTAAGTAATGTGTTTGTTTTTTTTTATGTGAACATGTTAGCAAAATATAAGAAAGAAAAATGATGAGAATCGCTCGAGATACATCGCCAACGGGATGAAGAAGAAGAAGCCGACCTCGAAATGAGTGGAGCGGCAATCTGAACATTGATGAAAATGGATGAAGTTCAAATAGGAAATTTACCTAGAATAAAGAAGGTAGTAGAAGAAGATGAAATATGTACCAAAAAGATCAGTAATTTTTGTTTTCTTCTGTAAAGTAAGTTATTAGATATAATATTTACCTGCTTAGCATCCAAATTGAAGCTCTTGCAGAAATTCTAGCATTTGGGCCCCGAACACTTTTTGGGCTTTTCAGATTTCTTTTTATCACATTTATTCTTTTTATTACATGTATTGTTTTTCTTAGGCGGTGGTGGACGTTTATTGTTGCACGTAGTCGGACATGGTGGTGGTGGTGGACAACAAGGTGGTGGTGGTGGACAACAAGGCTTTGGTGGTGGACAAGGTGGTGGGCAGGGAGGACGTGGCGGACACGGAGGGGGACACGGACAGGGAGGTGGACACGGAGGTGGACATTTAGGTATGTTGTCTTCTGGACACGGTTTAGGACACGGTGTCAATGATGCTGGTACACAAATTGGTTTCGGTGAACTGTCAGAATCTTGGATAAATTTTATAAAATCTGTAAAACATATTCTTATTTAAGTTTTTAATAAGACAAAATGTTATTGCAAGATATATTTCACTTAATGTATCAAATCTACATAAATTCACATCTTCCAGCAAAGGCTATTGCTTCGATGTATATTAAAAGCCAACAAATGACTTAGGAGAACTATTTGTTAACCTTTTATGTTTGAATTAATAATCAACCGAGGGTTATGACGTCGTTTTTGGCTCCCGTGCCTTCGTCAGACACTCAGGCTGTATAAAAACTCGCTAGGCAGACGGCTAACAAGGCTAGGTAGATGTCCTTAATTGTTCCCCACTTAGTGGTTAAGAGTACAAAAATGCCTAGATATATCAATTTTTCTGCCCTTTGTGCCATACTAACTGCAAAAATTTACATCTAGGAGGAGATTGCTTCGATATATTAAAAGACAATATGTGGCGTAGGAAAATGTGTTTGATTTTGTATTCAGCCCGAGTATCTAACGATGGTTTAGGAGCCTGAAATTACCTCACAACACTCTGTTGATTAGTAATTCAAACACGAGAGGTTAACGAATTGTTTTAGTACCATCACGCGATGGTACTTGGTATAGTACATTTGAAAATGATTGATAGGACAAATTTTATTGCACGTGGGATAAAACCCAATATATCAACATAAAACAGTAACGGAGATTTTCTAAAATAGAATATTCAGCATTGTTCTAAAAATGTTTGGATTTCACCTAAAATTTTTAAACATACCAATTTTTTTCAATTCTTGTCTTAAATTTTGTAGTCATTTTAATCAACAAATGATATAATTACGTAATCTCTACAGGTACAAAATATTTATAAATTTTAAAAAGTACTTCACAGTACTTCAATTCTCTTTGGTAGTCTTATCGTTACAGTGTATTCTTTATTTCTGATTTTTTATGTTTTTTTTTTCGGATAAGCACTTTTTCGAAATTACTGAAAACAGTTTGTTTCGTTTGTATTTACGTTATTATAATAATAAAAGTTTAAAGAGAATTAACCTTTTAAAGTTTTTATTTTAAAAATACAAGTGCCCCATTTTTGGTGCCGTTGAGTGTAATAAAATAAATAACTGTCAAAATTGTATTGCAATCTTACTGCGGTTTTAATCTATGGTCTGTTTTTAACCAGGAGGAGTAATTCAAATTTTACGCGCGGTAATGCTTGTTTGTAATTTGTCCAACGGCAGGCAAGTTTACTCCACTAAATTATGACATATTGACACTAATGACATTTGTGAAATTTTAAAATTCAAAATTTATATCGACGATTTTTTGCATTTTCTGAGTTAAGGTCGATTCACACACATCAGTCACGTCACAGTCACGGTACCGAACCGGTCCTGTTTGGTCACAGAACTATCAACTATCTGACAGCTGGCAAACTGTTCGTCAACTGATGAGTGTGAATGCCGGCGCCATATTTGTATTAAAGAATATTTTGTATGACGGATTGTTCGATTCGGCGCAATCACTGTGACGAGATGGTGACGAAACGTGACTGATGTGTCTGAATTGACCTTTATTCCTTACAATTTTAGATTTTTCGTTTGCATTTATATAAAAAACAGTTCTTTTCAGAACTATTCAGCGACATATTAGTGTTATTAAGATAACAATATTGATTCAATGCCAAGTACTAGTGGTAATTATTCTTCTCCACCTTAAAAACGCCGAGTAGATTTGAGTCATTTATCATCAAATGAGAAACAATGTATAAAGATGTACAAACAAATAATGAAAATTGATAGTTCTGGAATGAAAATAATAGCCACGGTAACAAAAATAAAACAGACAGCAGGTTAGTTTTGCAGAATAGTTGTTAAAATCAAGACTTAATAAAGTAATGTGCTAATTTTAGGTGTTGCGAATGCAACTATTCACCGAACAATTAAAGCATATAAGCAGACTGGAACAGTAAGATGTCCTAAACATATTGACGATCGACCTTCTATTCTTGCAACATTAGATGAAAGAGTTAAAACATCTGTAAGACAGATAGTACACAGCTTCTTTTTCAAGAATGAAACGCCCACTTTAAGTGAAATTAACAACCCCTCAGATCTACCAAAATATGTGTCGTTCATTATTATATAAATTCTTGCAGCAAATCAATTTGAAGTAAGTAAATATGAGTTAGCTGCAATTATATAGTAAAATTATCTATACCCTTTTATAGTTTTCATTTTTATAATCGGGTATATTATTGTTTCTACTAAATAGTTTTTGTAATTAAAATTTATGAGCTACATGAGAAATGATTGTAATAGTATCCTTCTGGTTTGATCAAAATATTTTTCCTATTTATAAACATAAGTACAACAGCCTTTGTGTTACATGTTTTTGGAAACATACCAGTGTACAAATATCTTCATTTTAAGTATTATGTACTCACATTTCACTGTTCTCATTTATAGATATTATACTTGGTATGTTTGATGATGAGTATACTAATTAATGATGTCATAAAGTAAGTTATTAAATAAAATAAATTTTAAGTTTTTAATTATATACTCTACTGGAATATTGTCAAGTATTTTGGTTGAACAGATATAAGAACATGGAAAGGGAAGAAAAGGAAAAAAAGAATATTTTTTACTTTACATAATAACTACTATAGATTGATTATCTTACTGTTTAGGATGATTGATTTATTGTCTGTATTATCAATGTCTTACCATAGTTATTTTTTAGGTGAAATTATTCAAAGAGTGGTTCATACATTGGGCTGCTGACTAAAAACAAAACTTTCTTGCTCAAGTATCTGAAATAGATTTAGTTTTTGCTAAAAAAACTAATTGAAGAAATTCAAAATGGTGTAATTGTTCATGAACCTCACCAAGACATAAATGGTGAGGATATTTTGGAAGACTAATAAAATTATTAAATTTTTATTTGTACATACATTCCGAATATATTATATTATGCACAGAATATTATTTTCCTCTAGTATAAAAATCGATTTCTGACTCTTTAAGTTGTTTGTTGGCTAAAGGTTTCAAGCCAAAGCCGATAAAAAAAAAAGTTGTTTGTAATAACTTGGACTTTTTGGTATGTGAATAGTATTTAATGTGATATTTTTTAAGATGATATTTATACTAAATATAGTTTAAAGTGTTTATAAATTTATAAATGTATGTTATTTATATCTAATTATCATAAGAAAAATGGCAACTATCTTTTAAATTTAGTGTATACTGGTTAAGAAGTATTTTCATTTTGTTTTCATCACAATAAAGTTGTAGTGTTCATGATGTTTTCATCACATTAGTAAAGTAATGTTGTGTTTTAGTTTGATTGTATTGGTATAGTTGGTTTTGTTCTGCCTGGTTGTAGATCATCACAAGAAAACTGCAAAATTATTCTACAATGTAACATAATAGATTGAATTTGTTTTTTGATTGAATTTAGATTCAAGAAATTGATCACATCAGAATAAGAATATGGTCTAGGCAGTTTAAAAGAACAGTATTTCAAAAATCTTTGAACTCTCTAACTTTTTGATACATACATTTACATAGCTTTGTTGCATATAAGATCTATTTGCAAATTAAAAGGTAACTTTCTGTGAAAAACCATACTTAGATCTGTAACATTATTGACTCTCCGTATCAAAATGTTCTCTAAATTATAATTAAATACTATAGACTCAACTACCAGAGATCTATAAAACTGGATCACACGATATTTAAATATATATACATGGGACCAAATGTGAAAACCGTCCTTTTTTTATTGTAATAATTATAATATTGGAAGTGAATTGAAAAAAATTATTCAAACATAAATAAACAAAGTTAGGTTAGAATTGACGTGGAAGGTTGTCCGATATTGATTACTCGATTACCGCAAAAACGAGATAATCAACAAAAAAAGAAGATGTATTTGGTGACTTTTCTGGTAACTTTCTTGGGTGTGAATCTGCCTTTTTGGTTTACTCCTCCTGGTTAAAAAACAGAGTATAGAGAAAAATGACGGGTTTTTAAATACTAGCAGCAAGGCATATTAATATTACTATTAGTATATGAATATGAATATGCAAAATTTATGAACAATACGAAAATTAACGTCTGCATATTTGCATATATTACGCATATTTAAAAAAAATGCATATTTGCGCCAATCTTATTCTAATTATTACAAATTGTAAATAAAAAATTTACAAACCTATTATCCTATTCGCATAACCGACTTCATTGTCATACCAAGCGATAAGTTTGTAAAACTTTTCGTTGAGTTGTATTCCTGCTCCAGCATCGAATATCGATGAACATTTACAACCGATGAAATCTGACGAAACGACTTCTTCTTCAGTATATCCCAGGATTCCTTTTAGTCGACAACCAGCAGCGTCACGCACGGCACATTTGATTCCGTAGTAGTCGGTGCAAGTGCATAGTTTGACAGTTAGATCTACCACAGATACGATCGGTGTTGGTACTCTGAATGCAAGTCCTGCAAAGGAGGAAAGTTTATTTTAAAATCAATGTGATATTTTGTCAAAGACAAATGATACAAGCAGAGGTAAAAAAATAAATTTGTGACATACACAATGAAAGTAATCAGTGGCAGATCCAAACGGTGGTCATGATCCCCCAAAAACAAAATTAAATATCAATCAAATAATCCTAAAAAGATAATTTAAAACCCATCAACCCTATAAGCATGAAGTCAAGGAGTTAAAATGATTCAAACTCATTTATTCTAAGGGTAAGTGTAGAATTATGCGGAAGCATTTTATATTGCTCTTTAAAAAAATTAACAATTCTGAATACAATAGTACCTCGACTAACGCTACCCCGACTTCCGCGAATTCATCTCATTATGTAGTCTATTCACTATCATGATCTTTGTCTTTGATTTGTTTATTTGATTTTAGTTTCCAGTCAGTCGTATGAGATCAATTAACTTAAATGTGTCGATAGAAATTAAAGTAAACTTTATACCCAAGCTTAATCAAGCCATTCAGAGCGATGCTAAGAATATTTATATTCCACTATGCATTAACAATTTACCCATATAAATTACTATCATTCTTGTACTCATTGTGTCGACTAAGGACGATAAATATACAAAGACGGTTACGTTTCGATTGAATTTGAGTCTCGTACCACTCCCTAACACGTGTTTCTGGGTCTACCCGTCATCAGAGAGTTTAGTTTATACTTATTTATTCTTGGTTTGTTCTTGATTTTGTAACCATATGATATATGGGTTTAAATTAATTGTCTTTAAAACACCTAGTTTAAATTGACAGTCCTGGATTTTTCAGTATTTATATTTCAATAACTTTCCTTTGGTTTAATAGTCTTGTGCACTTGATTCTACTGTCATAGAGTATGTGAATTTAATTTTTTTTTTGTTTAAGTTTAAGACCCCTTTATGTTGTACCCTTCTTTACATCCGTAGGGTATTTGGGTTTTCATAACTTCTCATTGGTTTAGTATATCGATTAAAATAATTATTGAGAAAATGGTTCCCTTACATGAGACACACATCATATCAATCGTAAAGGTGCAAAAATCTAAATCCCATATTAAAATCACCCTTAAGACCCATAACACCCTCGACAAAAAACTTCTGGGGATCAGCCACGGAAAGGTGCAAAAATCTAAATCCTATATTTACCCTCAAGATCCATGATCCACCCCCCGACAAAAATTTCTGGGTCCGCCACTGAAAGTAATGGGTCTTCCAATAAAGATTTCCGACATTTGACAATTGGTAGCGGCCATATTGTCGAAGTTACATCTGTCAACTTGGTTATCATTTATTATCAATATAGGTATTCTGGTTAGTAGATACAGAGTAAGTTTTTATTGCATATTGGTTGATAATTTCATTATGGTACACAATATTCAAAAAAGTTATTTAGAAAAAATGTTATGATAAAAATTATATTCTCCAAGCTTGGAAAATATGCAAAATTCTACAGGGTGTTTACTAATTTTTTAAATAGGACGCTGCATACTTACTGGATTTTATTATTAGATGTCGCTATCGCGTCCGTATTGAAGCCATTTTAGTGTTGCTTATTAAAAGACAGAAAATATTGATTTTTCACGTTAAAAACACCTATGAATAACTGTTCTGATGAGACCTATTAGGTCGAAATACGTATCAACAGATACATAGGAGTTGTTTGCGTGAAATCAAATATTTGCTGTCTTTTTCATTTTATTCGGATATACTCTGTGTGAGTACGAGAAACACAATTCGCTAAGGATTTCTACTTAGTTGTAAAGACATGTCATGGAATGCAAATTTTAGATTCCCCATGTCCCTTTTAACATCTTTTATTAACGTCTGTTTGCCTTGCAATTTTTAGAAGGCTCAGATTATAAGCAGAAATCTGAATTGTGTTTCGAAACTATTTTACGGATTTTACATAAATAATTATTCATTTAACATAATAAGATAAGCAATATGTTTTAGTTTTTAAATTAAGTTTAACAGAAATTATTGACAAATATTCGTACAGAGGGTGAACTAGAAAAGAAAATTACGATTTTCTCATGTACAACCTTATATATTTTTTTAATATTTCATTTATGGTACTTTTTTATCTTTATGAAGCATTCCCTACAGCTAAACTTATCACTTTCCAATTGTTGTAAGTAGAACTAAATTAAGAAATTATAACATAACTGTAACAATATAAAAAAAATTAGTTTTATTCAATAAATAACTAATACAAAATATAAACCATAACAATTTGCTTTACATATATCAAATACTGTAGGTGATCATTTCATGATGACCACCACCTACAAGCACTTAAAATACTAATTGAAAAATGTGTTGAATATAATAAACCACTCACGTTGATTTTCATAGACTTCAAGAAAGCTTTTGATACCGTGGAATTACCGGCAGTATTAGGAGCATTAGAACAAAGCCGAGTAGACTATATATATACAAATTTGAAAAAACATATATACATGTAACGATGAGTCCAAGCCATCACCGTTAAACCAGCGTGCGCGCGAACCAACCCATGTAGTAGGAGTGTATCGACAGTAGAAAGGGCAAAACTAATTACCAAGCTCCGCTATATAAACCGCAACATGTCCTCATAGAGGAGAATCGACAGGTGTTGACTGAAGGTTCTCTTCTTCCCTACCCCGGCTTGTGGACGTGTTGAGTTCACAAGTTGTTCCGTTCCATACCGCCGTTACCCGAAGAGCGTATTGAGCTCTTCACTACCCGTACTCTGAAGCAGTCGTGTTGAGACTGTCGAGGAGTGTCCTATTAACCCGAATCACATAAGGGACGTGTTGAGTTCCTTTCCTTTCTTTGCACCTATCGTCCGCTGTTATTAAATCGATACAACGTTCACGTAAAATTTCAAATACACACTCGCTTGCCGATAAGACTAATTTCATATGACAAGGTCAAACTTAATTTGAATAAATAGGCCAGGTACTGAGAAGACTAAACCAAATTGTAAATATGTACATAAGATTTTTGTCAATTTAATTTAAGGAAGACAATAAAGTTTTATTTTTATTTTGAACTCTGTCTCTGACTGTCCAAAAGCTACCCGGATAGTGACTCCTACGAGAGGACATCACAAATGGCGCCCGAGCAGAAAAATACGTTTTAAACAATAATACCGACCGAATTCCGAATTTTATTTTCATGAGACAGTACTACATTTCAAATTCTATTCAAATACAGGGTGATTCACAGTTCAAAAATGACAGACGCTCCGGAAACGTCGAAGGTTAGTTGGGTGTACCTATTAAAGAAAGACGAACTTATAGCCGAATTAACAAACAGAGAACAGTCGACGGAAGGGAATTTCAGCGAGCTAAGAGCGAGATTAGTTGCGATCATCAATGCACCAACTCAAAAAGGCCAAAACCCAGAGGAAATAGAAGAAAACCAGATGGAAGACAGACAAAGAAAGATGGAAATAGTACCCAAATGGGGGTTACACTTTGACGGTTCAAGAGACCCAATAGAATTCATAGAATGGTTGAAAGAACTCCAGACAGCTTACGGCCTACAAGACACCCACGTTTTACAAGCTCTACCAGAAACATTAAACGGGAAAACATTACTATGGTAGAGAAACAATAATAAATATTGGAACGAATTAAAAGACTTCGAACAAGATTTCCGCAATTTCTTCGTTTCCTCCGTTCTCACGCAATCTCTGGAAGCTCAAATCCGGAACCGACTCCAACGAAACAACGAAGGTGTAAAAGACTACATCATTGATATTCAAACAATGATCAGAAGACATGGTGAATTCAATCACCAAGAAGAACTAAACAGGATATACACCAATATGAACCCGAAATACAAGTTGTATATAAAGAGGCAAGACGTATCGTCAACACAGGACATCATCAGACTAGCGGAAGAATATGATATGGTCCAAAAAGAAATATATAACAGAAACAATACAAGGTGTGACTGGACACAGGCAAATAGTCGTAATAACAAAATACAGAATTTCGACAGACAGACTTGTTGTTGGAGATGCGGCCGCAGAGGCCACAATAGAAGAAACTGCAGAGCTATCGCTGTACTCTTCTGCAGCCATTGCGGAACCCGAGGAACAAAATCCAATAATTTTTTTTTTATGGTTATATTTATATTATATATATATATATATATATATATATATATATATATATATATATATGTATGTATGTGTATATATATATATATATATATATATATATATATATATATATGTGTATATATACATATATATATATATATATATATATATATGTATATATATATATATATATATATATGTATATATATATATATATATATATATATATGTGTATATATATATATATATATATGTGTGTATATATTTATACTTTAGTATATTATATTGTATTTTTATTTATTGTATGTTACATTTACCGAAACAGGTGTCCCCACACCTCTCGGAGACCTACGGGTTAATTTATTCACATATTGTTAATTATTGAAACAAATTTTGTATGATTGTTGAATAAATTATTATTATTATTATAACTGCCAATGTAGAAGCCGACTGGAAAACTCCAACAGGACTGGACAAGAAGGAGGCAACCCAGTCAGCATTTAGAGTCCTCCCTAACAACCTCCAGCTACGCACACTATACAGATCAACGACCCCACACAACGATAACGTTCAGCAACGGTAAAAAGTTAAGAGCACTAATAGACACAGGAGCCCAAAATTCGTTTATAGGACAAAAAGGTAAAAAATATTGGAACAATGTGGAACAAAAAGCAACAGAAAAGCTTTAAAGATCACGCTGGCAGATGGAAAAACCAGCAACATAGAAATCTGTTTTACAGCAAAATGTTCCATAGACAACGTTTGGAGAAAAGCCAAGCTACATTTTTTACAAAACCTAGCTTCAGAAGTAGTACTGGGAATGCATGAAATAACAAGATGGGGCCTTGATTTATCAAACATCTTAAATAGAAATCGCGTA